CCCGGAGAGCCCGGCCTGTCTCCCTCACGGTGCCCAGCCCGGCCGGGGCCCGGGGGAGGCAGTTCCATGGCAGTGCCAGCAGCCTGGTCGAAGCGGTACGTGACTCCAAGCCACCCTGCCCACGGGGAGGGAGAGGCCACGGGCGGGGAGGAGACTTGGCATGGGGAGCCGAGAAGGGCGCACCTGTTTCTTTCTGAATCGGTTGCACAGCAAGTCTCTGGGCCAGAAAGACCTCTCCTCTCAGGGCTGCAGAAAAACTGGGGGTGTGGAAAACAGTGACCGACAAGATGCTGGTGGGGGTTTCTCTGGAGGCTGGGCCCACGGGGAGAGAGAAAGAAACCACCCAGCCACATATCCCTGCCCTAGGCCGGGGAACCCCAAGAAAGGCCTTGGGGGCTCCAGTGGCGTGTGCTGGGACTGCTTCTGAAATGCAGATGTGAGCCTGGCTGCGTTTATATACACAGAGGGCCAAGATTTGTGGTGCTCAACCCTAATTGCTCATGAGAATCCCGTAGAGAGCTCGAAACCATGACGAATTAAACTGATTTTTTTTTAAGTCGGGGTCTCACTCTGTCGCCCAGGTTGGAGTGCAGTGGCACAATCACAGTCACCGCAGCCTCGACCTGGACTCAAGTGATCCTTCTGCCTCAGCCTCCCAAATAGCTGGGACTACTGGCAAACGCCGCCACACCCAGCTAATTGTTTTGATTTTTTGTTGAGACCAGGTCTCGCTAGGTTGCCCAGGCTGGTCTCAAACTCCTGGGCTCAAGCAGTCCTCCCACCTCAGACTCCCAAAGTGCTGGGATTACAGACATGAGCCACCGTGCCCGGCCTAAACAGATATATATATTTTTTGTTTGTTTTGTTTTGAGTTGGAGTCTCTGTTGCCCAGACTGGAGTGCAGTGGCCGCTCCCGGCCACCGCAGCCTTGACCTGCTGGGCTCCAGCGATCCTTCCACCTCCACCTTCCAAGTAGCCGGATTCCAGGCATGCGCTACCACGCCCGGCTGATTTTTTTATTTATTGTAGAGATGAGGTCTCTCCAAGTTGCCCAGGAGAGTGTCAAACCCGCGGGCTCAGGCAATCCACTCACCTCAGCCTCCCAAGGCGCGGGATTGCAGGCTGAACCACCGAGCCCGGCTAATAGATATATTTTAAAGTTTTTCGATGATTCTAATGTATGTTAGAATCCAGGATTGAGAGCCACTAGTTTCACCGTATTCTGTCTGGTCAGGGCATCTAATGCAACCCTGGCACTCTATTTAAGGGTCCTTTGGCCAATTGGAACAAGCCCAAAGGAGGACGACCAGGGTGGCAAGACCCCTGGAAACCATTCTATAGGAGAACAGGTCGAGGGGGGGAATTCAGGAAGGAGGCTGGGAGAGTGATGACTTCAGAGGGTGTGATGTGCATTTCACGCCTGCAATGGGGAGTGGGGCAGGGGTCACAGACCTGGTAGCAGCCAACCAACACCTGACGGGCAGACTTCAGCTCACATGGAGGAAGACCTTCCCAACCGAGCCCTCGCAAAATGAAGAGAGGGGTTTTCCTAAAAAGTAGTGCACACTGGGTGTGTGCAAGCAGAGACCTCGCCCATCGGTCACCAGGCTGTCCTACAGGAGGTGGGGAGTTAAACTAGACAGCTGCCGAGCTCCCCAGAAAAACTCTGGTGCTCCCTGTGGCCATGGCTATGCTTCATCCAGTTCCCAGATCTCTGCTGAGTGCCTGCCCGTGCAGGTGTTGTCCTGGCTCCAGGAACATGGCTGAGAAATAGGGCTTCTGCTCTGGTGAGCTCATGTTGCGGTGAGGAGAGACTTAATCAGTAAACGCGTTTGTAACATGTCAGGAAGGGACAGGAGCCCGGAAAGGAAGCTAAACCAGGGAAAGAGAGAAAGACATGGGCAGGGCAGTGAGACGTAGACCCCTAGGGGGGGAGACCATGTCAGGCTGCACTCCAGGGCTTCCTCCCACCCCTGGGCTCAGGAGCTGGGCACCAAAGCAGCCCGTAGGCAGGAGGAAGAGGCTTTGGAGGTCACCCTCTGGCCTTCTGAGCAGAGGCAGAGGCAGGCACGTTCACAGCGTTTGCACACACGCTTCCAGAAAGGCAACCGGTGGGTGACTGGGCACAGCTCAGCAGTTGCACCAGGGAGAAGGAAGGTTCTTGGAAAGAATCACCTGGAAGCATCTCTGGGTGTCAAGGAGGAGACCAGAAGGGCAGGCTGGGAGCCACCAGAGAAGCAGCAGGAGGGAGCCCCTCGGCCCCTCTGTGAGCCAAGACTTCCCCTAGCTGATGACAGTTTCCGAACACCCCAGCCAAAACGTCTCTCCGTTAGCCTACACAGGCCTCAGGCCCCCTGTGTGCATGTCCTGCGAGCACCCCACCCCACACACGTGTGCTCACCCTGCAGAAGCCCCTTGCCCTGGGCCTGGAGAGAAAGCCTCAAGCCCCCGTAATAACGGTCCTCCCGTTCTCCTTCACGGCCCCCACCCCGCCCCTCCAGGTCTTGATTTCGGAAGGACTGGGGCAGTTTGCTCAGGACCCCAAGTTCATCGAGGTCACCACCCAGGAGCTGGCGGACGCCTGCGACATGACCATCGAGGAGATGGAGAGCGCGGCCGACAACATCCTCAGCGGGGGCGCCCCGCAGAGCTCCAATGGCACCCTCTTACCCTTTGCGAACTGCAGGGACCCGGGGCAGGACCGAGCCGGGGGCCAGGAGGACGCGGGCTGCGCGCGCACCCCGGGGCGCCCGCAGAGCGAAGAGGAACTCCAGGACGGCAGGGTCTACGGCCTGTAGTCGCCGGGGCTGGGGAGATGCTGGGTTTTTTTTATTTGTTTCAATGTTCCTAATGGGTTCGTTTCAGAAGTGCCTCACTGTTCTCGTGACCTGGAGTTAACCGGAACAGCGTCTTCATTCATTTCTGTGGGGACAAGACGCAGAGTCGGGTGGTGCCCAGAGCTCGCTCTTGGGGGCCCGGGAGGCAGCAGTGCGGGGTGTGTCCCAGAGGTGGAGGGGTGAGCAGGGGGCGGCAGATCAGGGAGGGGCGCGAGGGAAGAGACGCCCGTCCTCTCCTTGCATGCCATGCCCTGCGCCTGAACCAGCAGCCGCCTCTGGGGGAGAGAACCCCAGCTTCCTGCGCGCCCTCACCCCCAGGACCCTCTAGCAAATGGGTGTCTTTCAACTTTGCTTGTAAAAAAAAAATCATTTGCACATATTCTGTATGAGCCTCACTGTCTCCATAGAGCCGGGGCCCTGTGGATTTGGAGAAGGGAGTGGGGGCAGGACTTCCGGCGAGGACCCCAGCCCACCCCAGAGAGGGAGCAGGCGACGTCGGGGACTCAGGGCCCAGGCCTGAGCACGCCCCGGCCCTCCACCCACCGAGACCGGATCACTCCACCTGCGCCAGCCACGCTCCAGCCCGGCAGCCCGGCCAGCGGGCACTGCCAGGAAAGCACGGCCCTGCCCACTCGGACCGGGGGCCACCAGCTCTCGACCGGACGAGGTGGTGCCGAGCTGCCGTCGAGTGCGCTTTGGCTTTGTGGTTTGACACTTTTCTTGACAGCATGCTGCAGTTTTTGTTTTTTGGGCAACGTTGGGGGTGTTTTTTGTTTTTTGTTTTCCCTGGGGGCGGGGAGGAAGAAGAGTGTTTACAAAAGTCCTAAAGCCACCCACCTTACCGTTTTTTTTGTTTTTGTTTTTTTCACTTTTGCAAATGTAAACCGGGTTTGCTTTCATTGTATTATTTTCAATGGTTGGGGTTTCCTTTTCCCCCAGAGGGCTCCAGAGAAACCAGTGGGAAAGTTTTACCAGCCATTGTGTATGCCCAATGATTGGTTATGATTTCCTTAGGCTGTACCCTTTTTCTTTTCTGGTTTGGTTTGGTTTTCTGATCGCAAGGAAATTGGCAAGGCACTTGATACGGTCTTGTGCGTGTGGGTGATTGAGCTGAGTTCCTTCTTACGCTGGGTGTGGAGGCGGTGTGCCAGAGGCGCAAGCGTGAGAGTCTCGTGAGCGTGTGTTTGTCGCAGGCTGTCTGCGTGCACACGTCCTACCTGTGTATATGTACCCACGCCGCGTGCCCGTGCACACCGACGAGTATGCAGTGCCCCCCCGTCTTCTGGTTTAAATGTGGGGAGAGCTGAATCTGGAGCCCTTTGAAAGCAAAAACCAACCACTGTCTCTGCTTCTGAAACGGGAATCAGTAACTCTGCATTTTCTGTCCCACAAGATATGCAAAAACAATGCAATAATATTCATTTTAAAAATACAATTGTGAGTTGTGTTGGCATTAAAACTGTATTTAAACACACACACACAGAGAGAGAGAGAAATTTAAGGGAAAAACTCAAGAAGGCATTTTGCTTCGATATATTCCGTGTAATGTTTTCTTGCATCGATAATGTTTCTGTTGAAGAAACCGTTATACTTGAATTCAGGTCAGTTTTAGTATTTTTCAAATATTTTTTTAAAACTGAATTGCAATTGTGCCAAGCGAATATAATGAATTGAATTAAGTTTGTTTTTGAACTCACTTCTTGTATATTTTGCTGCATGTAAAGTAAATCATTTTGTATTTGGAGTGTGACAAGCTTTACCTTTGAACTCTGAAGTGCTTTTCTATATGTGGTTGGGGAAAAGGGAACGATTTTTCTTTTAATTTGTGCCATGAGCAAAGGTATCACCAGTGTGAGTCAGGCTTCCGCGTCCCACGAACAGGTTCGGACGTTACTGTTTTGCATATCTTGTGTTTGCGTCCCTTTGCCCGCCGATGTGTCCAAAATCATGCGATGAGTCTATCTGTACCACATCTTGCTTTGAGAGCCAGGGCGTGTTTTCTCCCTGTCCTCACTCTGTCACTTTGCTCCGGTTCTCCAAGGTCAGCCCTTCCCCATGAGGTGTGATGAGGCGTTCTGGCATCAGCAACCTCTCCCGCCACCCCGGAAGAGGTGACGGACTTCCTGTCCACTCCCACGGCACAGTCTGTTCTCACTGGTTTCCTCAGGAAAGTGTACGCTGGCTGAGAGGATGAAATTAAAGTAAGGTCGGTTGGGGCAGGAGGAAGGGACATTCTCACGTCAGGCATCCGCTCGACCCAGACACAGACAGCAGGGGCTCGAGAAAGGCCACGGGGCGAGACCAAAAGTCATGCCCCTTTGTCCGTCCCTTCCTCCCTCTAGAGCAGGACTTCCTCCAGGCCCCCCATCATGTGTGTGAGTCGCCATGAAGGGGACCAGGACCGGGGAGGAAGCCTCAGCAGCTCACGGTCGTGGTGGAAAGAGATTTTGTGGGGCTGTCGCTTATGTGTATTTGCATCTCCCTAGAACGTCACCCTATGGGTGCTGTGGCCTTCAAAGGTATTTCAGCAGTGGTGGTCGAAAGGGGACCGCTTTGGGGGAAATAGGACCCAACCATTCACCCAAAATGGACCCACTGGTTGCCTACCAGACCCGGTGTTTCCGCAGCCCCTCTTGGCACTTACACAAAACAAGTCAGAAATTTGAGTAGGGGACAGTCCATTCCTCAATGACGCTGAGCTGTACTTTTTGTGGACTGACTCATGAAAAAGCGGGGGAGATGTGTCAGATCCTCCCAGGTTAACGTGGAGTCAAGAAGGAGTTTCTTCATAGTTCTCCAAACCCAACTCATCCATACTTTCTTGGTTTTTTTTTTTTTTCAGTGCCATCAAGGTCTTCTAGAAATTGAGTTGAGGTATCATTCTTTGTCCAGTTTCCCTAAATGTCTACTCCTGTGCTGCTAAGATTCTACATAGGATGGTGAGGGGAACCCCTTTGAACTGATAGCTGGTTCTTGCTATACATTTGGCCTCTAGATTTGGAGTTTGGATCGACCCTGCACCACACACACGCACACACACACACTTTTTGCTGCTTTCTATCTTGAACTTCTCCTCTGCATCTCCAGATCTCATTGGCCACGGGCACGGGCCACAGGCTGGGCTCATGCCAGCCACTCCTAGAATCCTGCCAAGGTTGGTATCCCCACCCTTCCCCACTCACACCCACAGATTCCCCCCATCCCAATGTCAGCACAGGCCAGGGCAGCCTTCCTCCCTGCACCCTACAGGAACGATGTCAGTTGCAATAAGGGCACCTTATCCTGGGCTGCTGTGACAGAGGGAGGTATAGGTGGGAGCATCCCATCAAGGGCAGTGGGTCTTTCCTAGCCTGACCTCCCGATCCACCAGTGTAAAATGCCTGTCGTCATGACGGATGAGTACAATGAGTAGTGACATCAATGCACTGCATCCCCAATGTGCCAAGTGATGTCCACCCAACGGTCTTGTCCCTCTGACCTTGTGAAACAATTGCCAAGGCTTCTAGAGCCCTCCTGACAACCCCTGGGTAGCAAGAGAAACCAGCCAGTGACCGAGGCCCCAAAGGACTTGAGGGGCTGCAGTTGAAGGTCTATAATTTGGTCGACTGAATGTAAATGTGTCTTCTCTCCAGCCTGCTTCTTTTATTTCCACCCTTGCCCTTTTAGTCATTATTTACGTGGATGGCCACATTTCACAAGAAGATCTGTCTCTTTCTTCCCATTCCTAGATGGTTCTTTTGGCCTTGAGGTAAAAAGAGGAGACTTTTTCCTAGGTTTCGGCTTGACTCGTGAGTTTTTCCCTGTTTTGATTCAGAAAGTGTTAGGTATAGCCCCCCCACCTCCAGCCCCCTTCTCAACCCGCTAGGCTTCCCTCTGACTGGGGGTCCAGTCAAAGGAACAAGGCAATGTCTCTCATCCTCCTGCTTCCCTGATTCTGAGTCTCAGGTGTTTGTCCAGAGAGAAACTGCCTATACTCCCTCCCAGCCGTTCTTTACCAGGAGGCCTCCTGGCCACCCAGGTGAGGACAGAACACCGCGGGAGAAGCAGACCTTCCCACGCCCAAGCTGGTGTCTTTCTGAGACTAGGAGCACTGGGAAGGAGAAGTTTGGAAGTCATCCAGAGGATGACGGCTGGTTTACGGACACCAGTGGGCACCCGCCCATCACTCCTAAAGGCAAAGAAATAGAACCTGAATTTAGGTTAGGGACAGAGCAGAACCCTGGTGATCAGGGATTCTAACTCCGGCAACCCATCATCGCAAACATTGCAGCGCCTAAAGTCATTGAAATATCGCTGTCTAAGACTTAGAAACAATCCAGCAGAGGCCAAAGAAAGAACAGTCTGATTCCCAGAAGACCTCTTTAAATCCCTGGGAAGTCAAAAAAAACTTGCTGATAGACCCTGGGTCAATTTCGTTGTTAAAAGAAGACCTGGCTCTAGGGCAAATAAATGTCAAGCACAGAGAGCACTGGGGGAAACGAAGGCAAGAAAGAGGCATGTCTTGACTCCCTATGCGTCAGTTCCCATTTGATGGGAAGACGTGTTCAGCTCAGCCACCCCCAGTGACCAGTGTGGCGAGGCAACCAAGGCTTCAAGGATCACTTGGGAAGATGATGGGAAAATGCATCTTACAGATGCCGATGTCCCAGCCACATCAACCCACCTGACTGCGTGTGAGGGTGTCTGTGGCCCTGTGCGCCCCCACACAGGTCACCCGGCATGCCCCCTGAAACAGGCTTCTGTCCAAGGCAGGTGGGGAAGCCCCAACCTGACTCACAGGGGCAGCTCTCGGCCACCAAAGTCCAGGTTCCCCTGCAGCTCCCGCTTGAGGAGCTGTAAGGGAAAAATGGAAAGGGAAGAAGTACCCTAAGGGTGGGGACACCTTCCCCCCAACCCCAAGCAGAGCTTTCCTCATGGTACCCTCCTCAACCCCCAACTCTCCCTTCTCCCCAGAGCCTAGCAAGAAGGATAGCAAATTGAAAGGAGTCCCGTGAAGCCACATGTGACTTTAGCTTACTTTATTTATGTATTTATTTTTATTTCAAAGCAATGAAACATTGCTTTATGGAGCCAGATACCGCTACAACAGGTAAATGGGTTTCTGCCAGATCTACAAAGACACACACACACATACACACACACACACACACACACACACACACACACACACCACTCTTAAGGCCCAAGGCTGGGATTGAGCTCTCCATAAGGAACTTTTCCTCCTCCCAGAAGGGTGAACACTGTGTAGACAGACACAGAGAGAGAGCCAGAGTGACTTCCTGGGGAGGAAATAATGCCCTTGATAGTACTAATGATAATGCCTATCAATACCTATCATTATTATGAAAGCTGAATTGTTTATCTATCTACATT